AGAGTTTTTTGTGGCCCCCAGAAACTCGGGGCCCTAGGTAGCTGCCTAGTATTGCCTAATGTTAGCCCCCCCCCTGCATCCGCCCCCGAATTGGGCACGGTTGTGGGTGGGGTGCAGTAGAACAGTCTATCAGATGGTATTGATCACTGATTGGTTGTTTTATCTCCCGGCTCTCTGCTGATTCAATGTCAAGTTGTTTCCTGTAAAGTTCAGCTTCTGCTGCGTTTCAGGGTACAGATCTCCTCCAGGAATTCCCAGAGTCTCAGTTATTCCAGAATCCCACCGGTTGGTGTTTATGACCCTCCTTCTAACTTCAGCTCTTCGTTATTTTTGCGGATTCGGATCCCTCTTTTCAGAGCTAGAATAAATGATCCATGTTTAGGTTTTTCCCCACTGCTCTGAGCGTTATTATTTCTCTAAGGACCATTTTAATTGAATGAGTTCAATAAAAGGACCCGTCTCCTTTTAAACCAGAGTTCTTATGTGCAGCTCCATGGAAAGTTATTTGGTTCTTTGCCTTCGCTCTGAAAACAGCAGCAGAACATCTCAGATGTGCTTAAACTGCAGCTGTATTTCAGATCCTCTGGTTTGGAGACGTTTTTCCAACCAAAATGTGTCGCTAGACGAGCGGAGCTGATGGCTCAAGGATGGCAGATCATTTCCTGGTCCACCTGGAGCCAGGCTTTTAGCTGGGATTATTTCATAGGCTGTCCACCTTGGTGTATCTTATCTTTAGGCTCTGCACGGTGCAGGGGGGTCCGGGGGATCCTCCCCCAGAAAATGTTGAAATTTAGACTCTGAAACGTTATTTCCTGCATTTTGAGGTGGAAAGCAGCTAACTTTGTGTCTTTGTTCCAACTCTACTTTAGTCCTGATTATAGGAAGGATGTGAGCTTGACTAGAGGGGGACATTTCTTTGGGTTTTTTTTAGCGTTTTTCACGTACGTAATGCAAACTGCAGGCAGCAGGATAATCCAGGGTTTATTTTTTTATTTAGGCCTTAATTGGCAATAAAATTCATTAAATTTGATTATCAGGGCATATAAAATGCTATATTAAAAAAAACGTTTATCCAAAACAATTTGGTCAGATATATCACTGTATGTTTGGGTGGAGCTGCTTCCGGTTGATCATAAAACCGCATGTTTGGAAAAGAAGCTCGAGGCGGAGAAAAGGATAGAGATGGGAAAATGCTCCTTTCAACAAAAGTGGCTTTATTTTAATGCCATCAACAAGTAACCATGACAATTATTTATAGGGGAAATAAAAGAGCATTAAATTTGAGTTTCTCATTCCTGTATAAACCCTGTAATAAAAGCCAACATATTCTGCCGGCAGGTTTCTACATTTGAAGTT